AGCACTCAACTAAACATGCAAGTGGCACTGAGCAGTTCAGTCATGCTGAAACTGCTTATGAAACCTAGAGCCCTTGTTATTTCTTGGGCCAAGTGAACGTGTGACATGTTGATTGATAGCATCAAAACACTTGCTCAGCGTTTTGGACAACACTTTCTCAGCGTCGCAAATTGACACTTCCTCAGCGTCGGTCCAGGCAACAAACGCACATGCTCGGCAGGCCACATCGGCGATGGTGCTCTTGAAGCCTCAGCTTGACAGCGGTCTGACAGCGTAAAAAATGGCCAACAGTGTGGCGCTGAGTAAGTGCCTTTCAGCGCTGAGCAAGTGCTGCTGGTTGACGCTGAGCCGTTGCATGTTCTCCCTGCCAAGGCCATGGCATCAACCACGTCCAGAGAGCCATCAGAGCCTTGGCAATGCAAAGGAAACTTTCAGTGCTGGACGCTGAGCAAGTGTCAAAAGTTAGACGCTGATCAAGTGTCACTGTTTGGACGCTGAGCAAGTGTCAAAGGCAATTTGCCAAGTACATGTCCCTGTTCAGCCAAATCAGTTGAGCATTTGATTTGACTTTCGGGGGAGGGGCGCATGGTTCGAAAACCATTGTGTTGAAGTTTGTGTTGAAGCCGACTCCCTAGTTGCAGGCCACGCACAATCACACACACCCGGATCGTTGCAACGCTTTGGCCCAGGGGCAGCAGTTTAACACATGAGCGCAACAAAAGCTTAGACATGCCCAACAAAAGCATAGACGTGCCCAACATTTATTACAGTTTTGGCTTATTTGGGAAGAGCAGGAAAGCAAAACGACATCAAATCACGCAACCTCCAACATATGTACTAAGTTTAAGCTTGGAACAACTCAGATTCAGCCCATGGGTGGCGAGAAAGGTGGTGGCAAGGGCGGCGTCTACGAGAAGGGCGGTGGCGGCAACAGGGGCGGCGGCGAGAAAGGCGGTGGCGAGAAGGGCGGCGAGAAGGGCGGCTGTGAGAAAGGCGGCGAGAAGGGTGGTGGCAGCAAGACTGGCGCCTACGAGAAGGGCCAGGGCCAGGGCGGTGGCAACAGGGGCGGCGGCGGCTGCGAGAAAGGCGGTGGCGAGAAGGGCGGCGGCTGCGACAAGGGCGGCGGCTGTGACCAGGGCGGTGGCGAGAAGGGTGGTGGCAAGGGCGGCGCCTACGAGAAGGGCGGTGGCAACAGGGGCGGCGGCGGCTGCAAGAAAGGCGGCGGCGAGAAGGGCGGCGTCTATGACAAGGGCGGCGGCTGTGAGAAGGGCGGTGGCGAGAAGGGTGGCGGCAGCGGCGGCGAGAAGGGTGGCGGCAAGGGTGGCTGCGAGAAGGGCGGCAGCCAGGGCGGTGTCTATGACAAGGGCGGCGGCTGTGAGAAGGGCGGCGGCGAGAAGGGTGGCGGCAGCGGCGGCGGCTGTGAGAAGGGCGGCGGCAAAGGGTTCGGCGGTGGCGGCTGCGAGAAAGGCAGCGGTGAGAAGGGCCTGGGCGGCGGCAACGATATGGGCGTTGGGGGCGGCAACAAGGGTGGCAGTGGCGGCGGGGAGAAGGGTGCGCAGAAGGGCGAGAAGGGCGAACGCCACGGCCACCGGCACGATGCTGCGCAGGAGAGGCGCCATGAGGTTTGGCGGGTTCGCCAGGACCTGAGGCGGGCAGAGCGGGACCTCGAGCAATGCGAGGAGAAGTGGGAGACCAAGCTGCGGTTGAGCAACTTGGAACACGACCGTGCCATGGCAATGCTGCGCAACAGCTTTGACGAGAAGTACAACATGGACATGAGCCAGCTCGTTGCGCGGCACACCCATGAGCTGGTCACCGCCCAGGCCCAGAGCACTCAGGCCCTTCAGCAGAAGGAAACCGAGCTCAGGCGGTTTGACCTGGGAGGCCCACTGCAAAAGGCTGCAGCAGAGGGTCGAGACCTTGCTGGGAGACCTGGAGGTGGCGCTGAAGTCGAAGCAGAACGAGAAGGTGGCGATGGAAGCTAAGATCTCCACCTTGCAGGCGGCGATGCTCAAAATGGAGGCTGACCTGAAAGAGAAGCAGCAGCAGGATCCTGGGATGAAGAAGGTGCGACTGTCCACCTATCACTGTGCTGAATTGAATCAAGCTTGTCCAGTAATCACTGTGCTGAATTGAATCAAGCTTGTCCAGGCTGAACAGCGAGCCGCCTCCAGCAAGTTCAAGGCGAAGGCGCATGTGGGGGGTCGGGATGCCCAACACCAGACGCTGGACAAGTGTCATGGACGCTGAGTAAGTGTTCCGGACGCTGAGTGAGTGTCCCAGACTACTAAGATTGGGAAAGTGCAGCATGCAGCAATCAACATCAAGCATCATTGACACAAAATGTGGCAGGCGCAGCCTAGGAAAAGTGCGCTGGCGACAGAGCCAGAAGCAGCGCAGCAGTGTCAGGCACGTCCACCAACGAACGCGCAGTATGGCAATTGCATGTTGCGCCAGGAGCCCTCGCAACCGTCGAAGAGGAAAAGATGAAAGAAGTGAGTCTCAGGAGGGCCAGGGTTAGGTGTGGCATGCTCAGCAACTAAACTGGACCAAGCTTCTGCGACTAACACTGTGCCAGGATTGCCAACACCAAGAGGCAGGTGGCTGGGTTTAAGTTTCACTTTATCAGGAGGGTTTAGGCATGCTTGACAAATTCGACGCTGACAAAGTGTCCCATGACGCTGAGCAAGTGTCAACACAGGTCCGGAGAGAGAGAGAGAGAGAGAGAGAGAGAGAGAGAGAGAGAGAGAGAGAGAGAGAGAGAGACAGAGGGAGAGAGAGAGAAGGGAGAGAGCGACAGCCAGGTGCAACACTGCTGAGTGGTGAACATATTGGCAAACAGTGAACATCGCGGGCCAAAAGTGCGAGAGGGGAATTGCTGTGCACACATTGCTGCACACATCGCCCATTAAGTTTGCAAGCTCACTTGATGGGTTTAGCGCAGCCGAGGAACGTTCTGGCAGCTGGTCGCGCAGCGTCGAGGTCCTGAGGACTGACACAGTTGGGGGGTGGAGAGGGAAGGACACATAAGGTGTTGCAACCAAATCCCAAACAAAAGATTTGCTAACATTTCTTTCAACCTTCAGTGGATGAGGCTTCACGTGCGTCTTCAGGGATGAAACCGACTTCTCCACTTGCTCAGCGCTCACTTGCACTTTCTCAGCGCCTAGGCACTTACTCAGCGCCTTTTTGTCTGTGCCCTGTAAATGGATGCGGCTTAAACACCCAGTCATGGCTGTGTGTGGTTGCACAGTGGATTTGCCAACCAGCTTCTCCAAGACTCAAGTGCAACCAGCTTCTCCAAGACTCACCTGTTTGGGCTTAAAGGCAGCAAACAGCCGAAACGACAGAGCACTTACTCAGCGCGCTTTGCACTTGCTCAGCGCGTAGGCACTTACTCAGCGCCTTGTTGTCTGTGCCCTGTAAATGGATGCGGCTTAAACACCCAGTCATGGCTGTGTGTGGTTGCACAGTGGGTTGGTTCTACCACCTCTGGACGGCCACCAGCAATGTGCTCACACAGTGTGTCAAAAGGTGAACTTTTCGTGATGTGACCAACCAGCTTCTTCAAGACTCAGCTGTTTTGGGTTTGAAGGCAGTAAACGACCGAAGCAACAGAGCACTTACTCAGCGCTCTTTGCACTTACTCAGCGCATAGTAGGCACTTGCTCAGCGCCTTTTCCTTTGCACAGGCACTTGATCAGCGCCTTTCTGTGCTTTCGACCGGCTTCGACCGGCTTCGACCCTTCAGCCCTGCCTTTGCCATGCTTGTCCTTTAGTAACCTTGGCACTTGGCCAATCTGAGTACCTGAGTCTACGGCCTGCAGGAGAATTGGTGGAGTAGGGGCTTGAGTGGGACTGGCTCAATATGTTAAAAATGCCTCAATGTTTGCAAACCGCATAAAAGGGGCAAAGGAGTTGGGGTGTCTTCACTATTGGGGCCCACTGCCTGGGGTTGCGCGGCGCAATGCGTGTCAGCAAAATGTTTGAGTGAGCAAAGACCGATCACAAAACAAATTGAAAACAGTTTGGCCTGAAACCTGCAAACATCTTGCATACCCAAAACTCAAATACCAAGTTGGTGCTCAAAGCCAAACTGCAGCCCGCCAAAAAGGCACAGAAGCCAGAAGAAAAGGCACAGATGCACCAAAAAAATCTTGTTTCGGGTCTCAGGTCTCGGATCTCGGGTCTCGGGTCTCGGGCTCTCGGCTCTCGGCTCTCGGCTCTCGGGTCTCGGGTCTCGGGTCTCGGGTCTCGGGTCTCGGCTCTCGGATCTCGGGTCTCGGGTCTCGGGTCTCGGGCTCTCGGCTCTCGGCTCTCGGGTCTCGGGTCTCGGGTCTCGGGTCTCGGGTCTCGGCTCTCGGATCTCGGGTCTCGGGTCTCGGGTCTCGGGCTCTCGGCTCTCGGCTCTCGGGTCTCGGGTCTCGGGTCTCGGGTCTCGGGTCTCGGGTCTCGGGTCTCGGGTCTCGGGTCTTGGGTCTCGGGTCTCGGGTCTCGGGCTCTCGGCTCTCGGCTCTCGGGTCTCGGGTCTCGGGTCTCGGGTCTCGGCTCTCGGATCTCGCGTCTCGGGTCTCGGGTCTCGGGCTCGCGGCTCTCGGCTCTCGGGTCTCGGGTCTCGGGTCTCGGGTCTCGGGTCTCGGGTCTCGGGTCTCGGGTCTCGGGTCTCGGCTCGCGCTCGTTGTCAAGTGCGTTCTGATATATATATATATATATATTGGAGCAGCCGTAGCGAGTTGAGCTACAGTCAACACCCAGGAATGTGCAGGTTAGGGTCAATGCGTTAATTGGTGCAGCGGCCCTTTTGCTTCTTTGCCTTGGGGAAGATCTGGTTTTGAATTTTACACACGTTTAGATCGGTCCGCTCAAGAGAGCCGACCTCTAGAAGGCTTTCAGGTTCCTTCTAGGAAGTTTGCTTCGGTCCTTGGCCCTCAACACAGGCCATGCATTGAGGGCTCTTCGATCAGAGCCCGCATTCTTGCGCAAGCCGGTTGACCGGCCAGGTTGGGTTCGGTTCGGCATCATGCTCGCCAACCAAAACCTCCTGATCGTCACCATGGAGGTGACGGGCGTGAGGGTTGAGGTGGGAAGCGTCAAGGGCCAACCTTTCCAAGCTTTCCAAAGCGGAACGTGTGTGTGTGTGTGTGTGAATGCGGGTCTGTGCGTTTGTTGTTCAAGGGTTCACCTTTTTGATATGTAGGGAGACTCAAAGGAACACCACCTGTTTGGGGTGTCCCCTATTTTGACACGCACACACACCCAAGGGTTGTCATTGGCTTCCTCTCAAAGCCATCCAAGGGTATGTGTCGTTCTGTAACGATCTCATCAGGTCTTTATATTTTCCATGTTGCACGAGTGCAAATGTGTATACTGGCACACCGGCCCATTTTGAGTCTCTTCTTGCGGTTGGAGGCTTGTAGGGTATGTGCCCACATTAGGGGACTCCCAAAATGGTGGAGTTTTGCTTTTTCCGTTGTAAACCAACCTCTCAAAAAGTCACACCCATTTGGTTGAAGCCGAAAGCAGTCGGCAAGCCGGAAATATCCAGAGCAGCCCGGTGCTTGTGGCTTGCTTAGGCCTGCCACAAGCACACGTCCACCGTGCTGGGCCTGGTGAACAAGGCCAGCTCCACTTACGCTTGTTTGAGGGAAGCGCACATGAGACTCAGGGAAACCATCTTCACAAAAAACACACAAACATAAAACAAGGGACACCTGTTGTTTTCATGTGTGCAAGGGAATCCAGGGAACCCCGTTTTGCTGCTAAGTTTGGGGGGGGGTTGTGCTGGTTGTGCTAATTGGAAACCCAAGCGGAACTACCCGTTTTGGGGGTTGCCCCATAGAGATACAATACCCTTTAGAAGCCACAGTAGCCAAAATTTGAGTTGGCTATCCTGCAACTATGCTGCATTCCTACAGCTTGGCAAAAACCAACCAAACCAATTTCTGCTCTGCCCCAATCCGCTGTGCGCACCCTCTTTCAAAGCAACCCTGGCAAGTGACTGGCAGCCATGCCCCTTCGATCCCCCCAACGTTCCCAGATCCGGGCCACCGAGATCGTAGCATCCCGTGTTTGTGGGCGCAGGTTGTTGGAGTTTGGGGCTTCAGATGCTGGAAGTTCGCTGGTACCCTCGTTCGGAAAGTTGTCAGTATGCCCGTGCAGGGTTTGCAGCTTCAATCCATTGAGCCTCCAAGCACCACAGCACGGACAAATCATTCCAGCAATCCAACCCGAAGCTTCAAAGCTAGCCCACAGCTAGGAGCAACGCCCTGCCTTCCCGCCCTGCATTTTTCCACGCTGCACAAGTGTTTCGAGTGCTGGACCGTGAACTTTGATTGGGAGCACCCCGCAAAACTGGCTTGTGGACAGAAGTCCCCATGTAAATGATGCTCACCAAGGTGTTCCCGAACTGAACTTTATACGACCTGAAAGGTGGTTGGTGGACATGACACTCCCCACCTAAATTATGTAGATGTCGTCCACCGAAGGCCCAACAACACATACCCAAGGTGCAGTTTGAGACCTTTGGTGGATATCACCACGGCTTCGCAGTACATTCTGTCTTTGAATCCCAGTTACTCACCCACAAATTACAGCATTTCTTTGCTGAGTCGACGCGTGAGTGTGATAGCACACGGCAAATCACTTTGCCGTGATCGAATCTATGTCTCTGGAGGAGCTGTGTTGCGTGATGAGGTTGCGAGCAAATCACACTGCCCGCAGGTTTGCAACAAGATGAGCCTGGGTGACGTCGCTGCGGAGTGTGAACAAGTGAGACTGATCCTGCAGGAGTGGGTTATGTGGGATGGGCATTTCTTTTTTGCGGATGCATCCAAAACTTATGGGCAGCCGAGTCAGTTCTACTCCAGCCGCACGTGTAGATAGTGTGTTTTACGAGTGCCGTGGTTCCTTGTGCACCTTAAGAAGGTTGGACCCACATGGGCTCTGCTCAAATGGGAAGCGGGAAACCAAAGGACACCAGGGCTTCCCCAACAACAAGAAATGGTGGAAACGAGAGAACAGACACAAATGCGGGTAGTCTGTCTGTTGTGAAGCGGCCAGTGCACAGAAAGCTCTCTGGGAAAGAGGGAACCAACCAAAGGTAGTCTATTGTTAGCTTGGAGGAGAACACGGGGCCCCCAAAAAGCGGCTGTTTAGCAGGACCCTATCCGCACCAAAGGGACACCATCTCGCTGGGAGGGGTTTACGGTTCAGGTTTATAACATTCCACTCCGCCACTCACTGACATGGCCGCCCACGCGCATTGATGATGTACTTCGTGCTATGCATGATGGACACCTGAAATACCAGCTTTCCTGCCACTTGGAAGTCTCGCCCTTGCACTTGATCTTCGGAGGCTCTGATGAGTCTCCAACTGCTTCGTCGCCACCCTGGTCTAAATCGTCAAACTCTCCATTCTGTTTGCCTCTATGTCGACAATCCTCTCCATCTCAGGAGCAAGAAAGGTCAATTGGAATTGGTGTGTGTGTGTGTGTTTGTATTCTGAAAGTTGGGTAAAAGGAAGCCTTCGTCCAGGGCGACATTGAAGCCCATCAGGGAGGCGCTGTTTTCTTGCTCTGCGCGCAGGTGTTCATCCCTTTACAGGAAGATTACAAAGAAAGTTACCCTGCCAGACATCCAAGGCAGACCAAGAAGGGGCGTGGTGCGTTGAACGTTTTAGCTTTGCACCAGACCCCAGCAGAAATACTGCCTTACAGTCGCATACCTCAGTGCCGGACTGACCCAAGCCCCTTTTCTTGCTTCGGGTGTCCTTCGTCCATTTTAACAATGCCATATGTCAGTACAGGTCGGATGCGTCTGGCCAAATGCATTTTGGCCATTGACAGGATTTGTGGGACTCGGCGGTTACAAATTCGATCGGACAGACTGATTTGACAAAGGGCCGGCTTTTCCCTGACCTTTGGAAAACAAACGGGTGTTTCACTAAGCCTGCAACAGCTTAGGCCTTTTGCTCAGGGAAGAGCAACCCAGACAAAATGGTAACCAGCGAATGTCCTATAAAACCTAGAGGTATCTGAAAGAGGCCTTTTGTAGGTATCATCCAGGGGAAAATCTGTCAGATCCAGAGGGAAAGCTACCTTTCGCGGTATCTGAAAGGGGTGATATGCACGTCAGGACACGGACTCCATGTTCGCCACGCTGAAGGACGCCGCCACCGGGGACCTGTCGCAGGCGCCTGGTTTTTCTCTCTACGTCGTTTCGCCGAAAGCTGGGCGGGTGGGGGGGTCACGTTTTGTTTGTTTAGGTGACCTGAGGTCTAAAGCAGGCTGGTAAGATAGGCATTGGCCTCGTCAGTTTGAAGGGCTTCCTCTCAGACACAAACTGGGTGGGGGTTATTTGGTTCGCCTTTAGTCACCAACCAAGAAGGGCACACTCCCCCATTTGTTTCCCTTTAAGCACCCAAAAACATGGGTGTCCTCAAAAAACATACACACACACACATGCAGTTTGTCCAAAGCATGCCCCAGAGCCAGTGAATCCATAGGTCACAAGGAATTACATGCAATTCCGGCGGCCAGACACCGACCTGCCTTGGGCACATTCAGCAGAGTGCCTGTTCCCAACACACACACACAAGATATCGGCACGTTCTTTGCAAACGGCTTGGGCACGAGTTGGTGGATCCACCACTCCCCTCTTGAAGTGATGCCACAAAGAGGCAGTTCAAGTAACTGTGAGTGTGTCCGAACTGGCTGGCCCGCTCATCGTCGGGCAGCATTCTGTACACAGTTGAAACTGTCAACTTCCGCAAAAATCGGAATGCGGTGCGTCACACATGCAGTGATAACATGGGCCCAAAGAGCAGGAGCACCATTCCATGTCCTCAAAGAGGCCAGGTAAACTTGCGAAATTGAGTTTTTGCAGTGTGAAATAGATTTCTTGCATGCAACAAGGGACCGTCTCACAATTGGTGAGCAGTGTGAGATAGTTTGCTATAGACAACAGTTGCATGATGCTCTGCGTTTATCTCCTATCAACCTACTGAAACAACAGCTACCCTCAGAATCTATGATATTGCAAGAAGTGAATGTTTCGTCAGCAATGTTGTGGTTGATTGACCCTGTACTGCTACTCGACGGCTAGACCCGCCGCTCCTTTCAGAGACGTCAAATGGCAGTCCACAAGATCCTTGCCCTCGGTCCGGCGAAAGGGTTTCCCCCATTGGGATTACAGATTCGGATTGGCCAACCCTAGAGAGAGAAAGAGAGAGAGAGAGAGAAGCGTCTGAATTTCTGAGTTTCAGAAAGCGCATCCCAGGAAGGTGAAAGAGAGCACAGGGCTCAAATGGACAGAACTGCAGGTGCTTGCAGACGTCAAGAAGTACGCTTCCGACGTGGTAGAGGCATCGGTCAGAAGTATTTTGGGGTGGTCCATGGAGCGGGGTGCTCGGTCGTTTAACCTCCAGTTTTGTCATTAAGCCTGGATTCTTTCCTTTTGGTGTCCCTTTGAACAAAACCCAACATGCATATCATCAAGAACACCCACCTATGTCTCCGTTCACAAAGTTCAGGAGCAAACATTGAGGTTTGTTAAGCTTCAGCCAACTTGCATTTTTGCTTGGAACTCTCTATGCGCAACGCGTTGTTTGGACGGTTCATCATTTCGGGCGTTCGGGAATGAAATCTGGACCACTCCACGGGGTCAGTGTATCGCATGCTCAGCATTTACTGCTATTTGAAGTGTCCACCTATGATTTACCCACCCAGAAACTAAATCACTGAGACCATTGATGAACAAGCTGGTTGGGTTGTCATTCAGGTTCGGTCGCGTTTGTCCTGATTTGGAGGACCCGTATTGAATGAATGATATTCGAGCAGCACCCAAAACTCAGGTGGTTCACCTGCAATGGAGACTGCAAAGTCGAACGGTGAAGCTTGAGTGTTTTTTCCCCGTTTTTTACAGGCAGGTGGCAGCTGCTGCGCTGAAGACTGCAGCGATCCACAGGGTTAAAAGGGTAAGCAACGGTGAATGTGTAATATGTTCAATTAGGGGGGCCCCGCAACTTGAATCGTTTCCTTTTGGGTTCCCTTCAAACCAATCTCAAGAAAGTACACTGCCATAATCCCTTCCTCCTTCTATTGAGCGTGACCACCGCAGGGAGTAGTTTGAGTTGTAGCACAAAGTAAGCTTTTCTTCCCCCGGGTCAAAAAAGCCCACAGAATGCAATCTTCAAGCATGTAAGGGATTTACAATGGTTCAGGCTCTTCTTTTTCTGTTTCGGCCCAAATGCACTCCCCAAATGCAATACTCGAATACACAATTCAACCAAAGCTAGAAGGAAGATCGCTTTTTCGTATGGGTCTAGAATTGGCCTATTCTACACTTAGTATTCCCAGACCTGGAATTTGGGGAGTCTGCATTTTGTAGTTATTAGGGGGGACCTTTGTGATGGGGAACACTAATTTGTCATTTTGTACTGTGTACACTGATCAAATGCACATGTCACTGAGACGCTCGTCCCCTCCGCATGAATTGTCAACCTTTGGTTCACGCCATTTGAGTGAAGTGAATGATTGAGATACGTTACCCCTCGCAAGGGTAAAGAGGCCGCGGTCCAACCACACCAACGAAATGCTTCAGGCGTCTGCCCTCCAATTTGCATCCCGTGTGGTTTCTTTCTCAGCAAACCTGGATTGTAAGTGGGTTCACGGCCCCTTTTCGGCCGTCCTTGTATTTTCAGCTTAGGCCAATCAGTTCAGAGTGCACGCAAGCTCCGTGCTTTTGGCTTTTGATATAGCACGAACGCATCATTTGGCCATGACCATGAGGATTGAACATGGGGTTTCAGTGTGGTTCTCATGTACCAGTAGAACAATGGGAACCCCGTTTCAATAACCCGTCCTACTAGATAAGGTTTTGATTGCGGCTCAATTCCAGACACATACACACATATACACTCATATACATACATATACACACGTACACGCATATACACACACCAATGAAGATGCCAACAAAGCACATGGGATTGCAAGAAAGCCCCTCCCCCTGCCATGGAAGATGCCAACAAGAACGCCGAAGGAGTCAAAGAGCAGCACCAGAAGCAAGTCCACTTTGGAACTGAGGAAGTGTCTGGTTTGTCGGTGCGTGACGGAGCAACACCTGAGGGTCCCAGAGGGTCCAACATTTGGTCTTGACCCTTTGCCTAATCCAACACCATCAATGTTGGGTTTGTCTCAAAATCGGGGAACCCCCCAAATGGTTGGTTTCCTTGTGATTTCCCTCCAATGCCATCCAGCAATTTGCGAACCCTCAAAAAATGACACACACACACACATCAAATGGTTAGTTTGCTTGTTTTTCTTCTTAAGCCATCCAATAAAAAGGAATCCCTCAAATAAAGACACAACACAAAATATGGAGTACCCTTCGAGTCCCCGGTTTCCTTTTCGCCGAGCCACTTTTTTTGGCCAGGCGGAGTCCAGGGAGCTGCAGACGGGGCTCCAAAAGCGCTCGGAGGCACGCGGTGTGTGTTTTCTCTGGGGGTGGTCCGGGATGGTCTCGCTAGTGAGACGAAATGAAGAGCAAGAACGTGCCTTCTTCTTTTTCGTGATGGGTGCGTCCCTGGACTTGCTTTGCAGGTCTGGAACATGCAAGCGGATGGGGAGGAAAAACATGTTCAAGTTGTTGTCGAGAACCAAGCTTGCGGAATCAGAAATCTGTGGGCCCGAAACGATAGCCCAACCAATGGCCATGCAGCAAATACTGTATTAGCCAACTCATCAGCCGTCATTCCGAATCCCAAGGTGTACTTTGAAGTTTGTGCATACGCTTGTACTTCAATGCTGCGACGGCCGAGCAAGAGCTGCCAAAATGTCCTGCATGCACTGCAGTGGAATTTTCCATCTTGAGCTGAAGAATCGCCAGCAGACCGCACAGCGACAGGGAGAGAGCAAAGCCGATACCAGCCGATACCAACCGATGCCAGGAGAAACGGTTGCAAGAGCTGTCCACGTTTTCATTCAACCCAAATGACGGACCAAGGGCTTGAGGGGCGCACGATGAATGGCCAACTTATGGCATTTGCATTGAGCAAGATCAGTTGACGCGGTGTGAAAGTGGAACAGAAGCACTCACCAACCAACACACATATACACATGTAATACATGTATGTGTAGATACCTGCATCCATGTATTATGTATTATACATATACATCTAGCTATGGAGAATGTTCGCTGGCGAGGATGCATGCTGGGGGATTGTTTGTTTGTGCCCTCTTGGCTTGGTGAGGGAGCCGAAGGGACACCACCTTCAATTTTGCAGCGGCTGCTTCTGGCAGTTAGGCAGTTTGATCATTTTGGTTGCACATAGATAGTAGTGTCAGTTTGGTGATTGCTTACTGGTTCCATCATAGATTGCTTTCCCTGACTTGATGTTCTGGATTGCTAGTTTGCGTTATGTATGATTCCACAATTCTTCGTTCCGCATGTGCAGCTCCGAAACATCTAGACCACCGATTGGTGGCAGCATCTCTGTTTGCAAACGAACACCTGCGTCCATTTCAGGCAGCTTGGGTTTGGCCAGGTGTCCGAGCATGGTCTCAATGCCCGGGGCTCAATGGACCTGCGGGAAGACTGGCATGCACGACGAGAGTTGAGACATTTCATCTTTCCATTTGTTTCAGGCCCCAGGCTTGACGGAGCTGAAATTGCAGAAGCTGAGGGCTGTCTCTTGTTCGAACGAGGCGGCGTGGCTGGTTGACATGATCGGCTCACGGCGCCTTAAGTGAAGCATGGCGTTGACGGTCAAACAGACCTACCAGAAACCTGGTCACTGCAAAGATGCACGGGAACAAATTGGACGGGCAAATCTGCGGAACATCTCCAACCATAGCACTCAGATCCCTTCCCTTTGTGGACTTGTTGCGTTTGTGCAGATGGTCACAGACAACAATCTGGTTACCTTTGCTCCCCAATCCACTCGGGACGTGAGATCCACGCAAGGAACGCTTCAAAGCCCTGGAGGCGCGAGTCCTCTCTGACTTGGCAGGCGCGGCAAAAACTCGACTTCGACCGGTGATGAAATCTGCATCCATGTCACACGGAACCTGAGGGTCCTGGCTTGGACCATGCTCAAGGGACCCGTAGCATAAATCCCATGACTTTTGGAGGTCCATCCATTTCATGTTTATTGGCATTAAGATGCTTTGCGCAGGGCGCAGTGGGCAAACAACTAGCCTTTAGTGACTTTCAGGGTACCAACGAATTGCTCATTTCGGGTAATTTGACTGGGTGGTTGGTGTCGTCGGTCATTCAGAACCTTGCCTTGGTGCCCTTCCAGGATGGCAAGGTGCCAAAGTGTCTCCTTAGAAGGACTTGAGCCCTTGGGGGTTGCAGAACCCGCAATTGCAGGGTGTTTCTTAAGCATTAGCAAGAGTAGCTGATTTTTGTTTACATGGAACCCAGCATCAAAATATGGGTCCTTTTTGTCACAGGTCTGAGTTTCATCTTCCCTTTGAAGGACCTGTCCGAACAGACTCTTTTATTTTTTGAGCATGTATGGGTGTTTTTTTTTGTGGAACCCCCGAAATGGTGGTTCTTCTTTTGGTTTTCCTTTAAAACCACCCTTAAAAAGACAGACCCATATCCTCGTTGGTTTGAGCTGCCTTGCCAGCATCAGCTGGCAAGCATCAAACCCTGTTGATCCCAATGCATCTTGCATCTTGTGCTTGTCCAGCTCAACTTTGTTGGGGAGACGGGGGTGCTGCCCCCGGGTGGTTGAGCTGTGGAAACTTTTGCTCCCACCCACCCTCCCTGTGATTGGCTTGTTTGAGCCGGGCCCAAGTGCCTGTTCAGCCTGTGGGCTGCTGTGCTGGCCCAGCTGGCTGGCCTGTGTTGGTAGGCCAGCTGGGCCACTGTGTAACACACCATTGCAGAAACGAGCTCAAGTGCTTGGGTCACAGGGTTGTTTCTGAGGACAGGCACACCAAGTGCTTCCGTCTCGGAGCCTCAGGCAGCGGTCCTGCCGCTGAGGGCGAAGGTCGCAAGGCAAGTGGGCACGGGCAGGGCGAGTTGCAGTTGCGGGACACACCCTCACATCCACCGGCAAATGGAGGGTCCACAGATTTTTTTGGGTCTCAAGGTTGACTAAAGAGCCTTAAAAGGAAGTGGAAAGGTGCTATCTCCAAAGGAAGTTGCGTTCGCTCTTTTATGGTTCATTGTTGGAGGGAGGGAGGCTCCGCTTTCCGTGAGTCAGCTGCTGGAGGTCCTTCTGGTAGCCCTATCTTTGAGCATGTGGGTAGGGAAATATTGGAGGGCCACGGATTTTTTAGGGGGTCTGTGGCAAGAGGTCATAGAGGAACCTGGAGCGGGCGGCTATGCAGCAAGGCAACCAGATGAGCAACTGCCAATAGTACCGGTATAATGTGTTGCTAGGTTTGGGAGAACAAGGGGCCGGCCCAGCCAAGTGCTCCATGTGTTCTTGGGGAAACAAGCAATCGATTGAAGGCTGCTGTACATGACCGCCGTTTCAGGGCAACTGACCTCCGTTTCAGGGCCACATCCACCGGCGACTTTCTCTTGCAGCGAGAAAAAAAAGGACAGCCATGCTTAGCTTTACCGTGCGCTGATCGACTAACTTGACACATTGCGCATGGCGTGCTGGGCAGCATCCGCCGATTTGAATTTGAATATCCCCATTTGGAAAGGCAAATTTGGAATGACTCTCCCTTTTGGTGGGATGAATAATTAGTTAACCTGTGGGGACATAGGACCCCGAAGGTTGAAATCGAAATCGAGACCCTTTCACGGACTCAGGACGGCCAATAGGTCCCCTATACTCCCCAAAAAGTTCTAAGAACAGAGGTGCTAGGAGCCTTTCCAGTTTTTAGGCTGGGATAGCTTTGGCTTCCTCCCTATGGATATCATGGACATTGAGATTCTGCCCACCAAACGTTTGGAGGATGCTCCAACCTTTCAAATTCATTGCCATATTTTTCGTAGTTTACCAACATGCGTGGTATTGTCTTCTGCGTACATAGTCAACCATGCAATCCTTATGTTGAAATGGGCAAGTTGTTAGGTTGTTGTCCCAAACTTGTTGTCGTTGCCGCAGTGTTCATTCAAAACGGACGCTTATCACTTGGTGGTTGTGACACTTCTACCTGTTACATGTGTTTGTCTATGTTGTTTGTTTTGGCAGGGATCTTCACCATAGGTCCTAGGCCACTTTGCTCAAACACAGCCGGATTCCAGTGGTTTCAGTTTGGTTTCCATGGATTCCAAGCGGATTTCACCAGAGTGAAGCTGAGGCTGGTGAAAGCCACCTGATGAAGAAGGTGACCAACAGGAGCCATGTCTTTGGCCGGGAAAATTGGGCTTTGATTTCAATACGGAACCCATTGGTTCACATTAATTATTTAGGGGTGATGTCCACCAAGCGCTTTTGAGGAGGGCCCTTTTAAAGATTCACTCTTCATGGTTGATCTCGGATCCTGAGTCCTTTGGATCCTTTGGAAAGTAGCGGATCGTGCATTTGAAGCTAGGTGATTGTTTGCTCCGGTTAGGGCGACTGAGCTTTGTCGGGCGGTTGGAGTGGGAGAAGTCCACGTTCGGTTCTGCCGAATAGTTATTCCCTGTTTCTTTATTGTCCCTCAAGTTTAGCTGTCAATCTCAAGAGGGTCTCAGCTTCTAAACACCACAGGTACAGATACGTTTTTGCTGGGCCCATATTGGTGACGCTTCTGAGTGAATTCACGAGATGCAACTCAGGCAGAAGCAACCCGCAAAACGAGTCAGACTGCGACGACCAGACTCGCGTAGCCAGTGCCCAATATCAAGTGGCAGATGTGTGAGGATCCAATGACAGTGTCGGCTTTCGGCAAAGACACGGCATAAGACCATGGCGTGAATAGCGTTTGCTTTTCCAAACCCCAAATTGGGCTTCCGTCAAACGCCGTGCTTTTAAAACTAAGCATGCCTGTTCTGCCTGTTCTCCCCCCAAAGATCAGCACCCCTTCAAAACTGGTTCTCCCGAATTTCGGACCCACCCGGTGTCTCGTGTCCCGCTTCGCCAGGATGAGCGACTTTGAGGCACAGGTCTCCGCACAGATCCAGGCGAGGCGTGTCGAGATCGGTCCATCGAAACTGCGAAAGTCATGCAATCCCTTCTTTGGCTCACTCGAGTTCCTGGACTTGAGTCACTTTATGGGACTTAAGATCATTTTAGAGTCCACCTAGGGAGTGAGTTGGGGATCCAAGTCTTCTAGGTCTTGGGACCGAACAAAACGTGCAGATCAAAGAGATTGCGTGGCTCGTTTTTGATTCCCCAGCTATTTTGTTGGGGCCATGAACCAAAGGCAAAATGGAGGCCTGAAAACTTGCTTGGGATTGGCAAGCAGGGTCCCCATTCCGTAGCAAGCCACCAAGTCTTTCAATTGCTGCAGTGGGGGATTTTAAAGCCAAGGTACTGGGTCCCTGAAAGTGGAGATCGATCCTCTTTTAACAGGGACTTGACAAGGGCAAGAGCCTTTTGATAAATTGAGTTCCCTCTGGAAGAACGTCTCAACCCGGAATGTGTATTCCAAAGTGATCCATCCGCTGGCGGTGTCTTTGTCTTTGTCAGAGCCTGTGTACTTCCATGTGTGTTGGTGGGAGGGTGTCTTTTTGGAAACTTTTTTTGGGTTTATTGCCCTGAACGTGGAAACGGATTCCTCGAGGTGTGGCCAACCTGTTTATCAAGAAAGGTTGGTAAGAGGTCAATGGACAACCCTGGCATGTCAAGGATTCACCAAAGTCACTGGCAGCGGGACAGGTGAGGAGCCACGAGGTAACTTGTCATAAGAAGCCCTGGGCAAATGTGTCGCCCACTGCGTGTTGCTAGTGTCGCCATGAATTAGCAGCTAAATCACCTCTTGGCCAGTGAAAATGGTTCTGCGTTAGCTTGTGGAAATCACCCACATCTGTGACACCTACTTAAAGAGGGTAACAGTTGTGTGGCTTTCCAGCAGTGGGTGGGGTTGCCCAATCCCGACTTTTTCCACACCCCCGATCCATGTTGTGTGTTTATGGAATTAGGCACTTGAAGCCAACCCCTGCCACCTCATGGGCATAGTGGTGAGCAAGAGGCTATTGCCGTGCATGTTGGTTCCACAATGCCGATGTTACTATTGATTTGGCAAGATCATTCTCTGTTGAGCCATGGCCCCCAGATGGAAAGCTTTGTTAGTTTGCATTCAATGACCCAGAAGTACGATGTCTTGCTCGGTCTCTTGAAGTCACGGCCCGCCCCAAAAGGTCTCAAACGATCCACGTGTTTTTTAGGTCGCTACCCGTTTCTCGTACATGAAGCGAAAAGCCAAACAGCCCGAGGTTTGCTCCGGTTAGGTCCTTCCAGGTCTCTTGCACTTTGACCGCGCTAGGCGCTGTCACAGGATGTGGAGAAAAAGGTGTCGTTCCTGGGGTCCCAGCAAGACTCTCAGGGAAGCCTCGCGACCGCACGGGGCGCGAAGGGTTCCGAAGCATTTGATGCCGCGGGATTGCAGCTATGAAAGCAATTGGAAGGAATTCCCCTTTTAGAGCCGGTATTATATAAGCGGCGCAATGTTGGGAACACAGAATTTTGCCCCTGAAGCAGCCAGAGTTTCTTGTTTAACCCCAATCGTTTGGGTTTTGCGCAGCAAGATACAGCCCCCACTTTTAGGGGTCACTTCATGTTCCCAATAGGGCCCCGTGCAGATGAACATGTATCCCCCAAAACCACCGGTTTCAGAGGAGACTATGCTGGTTCATGCGGAGTTCCTGGAGTTCATGCTGGTGCTGGTTCTTGCGGAGTTCCTGCAGGTTCTTTCGCTGTTCCTCATGCCGAGGCTCCTCCTCCTCTTGGATCCCCCTTCAGCCTGCAAGGAGAACCGCCAATGGCTCCACCTTGGCCGAAATTCGGCCCTACTATGAGGGCGAAAGCTGCAGCCTTCAAGGCAATAGCAACAACATCAATGCCACCCTCGGAGTGGCTAGGCCCGGTAGCGCCTTGCTCTGCCTTTAGCAAGAAGAAGAAAAGGAACCCTTCTTGGCAAAAGCACGAGAGCGGGTAAACATGCACATTTTGCAAGCCATAAATTTGGGTTGCCATTTTTTCTTAAAAAAGCTGGAGCCAACGATTTGCAACACACTTGGCTCCTGAAAGCGAAACCTGGGCCAATGTCATTGTGATTCTGAGCCTTGCTATCCTCAGCAAGTCCAGGCAAGGTTGGAGGTGTGGTAATGTATTTTACACACTGGAACTTGTGGTTAATTGCGGTGTAAAACAGGAAGCTACAAGGAAATCCAGAATTGCTCATTCATTCCAGACCTTGAGAAATTAACTCCATCTAACACTATCGAGCTCCACTGGCTACCTTCTTTCCAGAATAATTTGATTCAGGTCCACTTTGCTACTTCCAGTTGGCCCTATACCTGGATCCTTTATTTGGTTGCTTTGTTTGGGCTCTAGGCATGGTTTTTGCTCGTGTCGGATTTTCAGCGGAAGCATATAAATGAGCGGAAACCCTGTGTTGAGCTGTTGTGGCCGGTTTTATCCCAGAAAATAAGCGGAAACAAGCGATGGGAAATGATTGAACAAAAACATGAACATGTCTAAACCCAAATCAGCCACTCTCCATTGGGCGCTTGTCTTGAAAGCATTTTAGATCGAGCACGCACTAAACCTGTGCGCGAGGAAGGTCTAGGTATAAGCTGGTTTAGCTTCTGGGCAATTGTAGACCCATGGTAGGTTGGATATGAATCCCTTGAGAGCTTCCAGGAGTTAACTTCAGATATTTGTTCCCAGACTTTGGACCACAGTTTGCTGCACTTGTGGGACGGGACCTTGACGGCCAATTCCTCAAGGGAGCATTTCCCGATGCCATGGCGAAGTAGGAGGGAGGGTAGAAATTCTTTAGGAAAAGGTCTGAACGGTCTGAATGTGTTGTTTGTGGATTCACCAATTTCTCACATTGGCCTCATCAAGACCTTCACTTCCAACCACTTCCCGAAAATGCTGCTGGGCAGAGGGTGCCCTTCTCGAGGGCACCCTTTTTGGGGTTGCTTCAAAGGGAAGCCAAGGAAAAGCCACAATCTTTGGGGGTCCGACTCCTTTTTTAAGACACACAACGATTTGAGGGGGGGGTCCGATTTCTATGTTGAGAGACAGTTCTAACACGCACCAATTGTTTGGGGGATTCCCATTTTGAGAGACACCCATTTAGCGCACTTGGCACAAATCAAGCTCAACTCACCTTCAACTCCGTTCGCCGATTGAGGCGAACGGTGGGCGAAGGCGGCCAAAGGCTCAGCTCTCGCGGCTCTAAGCCTCTGGACGATGTGGGTATGTCTGAATGTGGAGGGATTCCATGGGGATGGCAACAAGAACCACCACCCTTGTGTGGGGTCCCTTGAAAAACACAAACCTTGGCTTTCCCAGTGTCCAAACCCTTTGGATCGCAGAAGCGATTGGGGACCAAACGGAAAACACATGTTGCGAGTCCCACTATTTCCCAGTTGTTCAATGACCCTGGTTGAACAAGGGAACTTTTTAGGGGTCTACCACTGAACCTAATATGAGAGATGTGTTGATGACTTTCGCCCTCTTTCTGAAGCAGGCACTCTTCCTGGTTGGCATTTGGGAATTTCTCCATGGGTTCTGGAGAATGGCAGGGGCGCATCGGCTTTCACTGGTTTGTGCGGTTCTTCTTGAAAGAAAGTCGAGTGGCGATGGTCCTTCATGCCCCAAGAGCTCGGTTTCCGTCTTGCCTTACCTGGGCCTTCCGCAGGGAACTGGGGGGAAAACATGGCTCAGTATCTAGAGCGGTCCACACACGCGCGAACGGTATCTTTATCTGGCATTTACTTCGACCTGCTAAAATCATTTTCTCAGCCGATTGTTTTTCCAAATGGGGCTGTTGGCACTCCACAACCTTCTCCCCACTGCGCAGTGATTTCTGAGCTCCAAATCCTTTGAGCTGCGCTCAGCCCCGGGGCTGGACAGCCTTTCCCATGACTTGGACGTGGTCAAGTACGACCTGGGGGAGATGAAGGAGCCGCATCTAGGGCTGTACAAACTCCACACAGTTGAAGCCGCAAGCTCGACCTTATTGAACCTTAAGGCTGTAAATTATACCCCAACCCTTCGGCGGGCGGCAGGGTCCCTGACACATTGCACGTGTGTCTCAACAGTTTGAAGGATCCTGAGGTCGCTGAGGTCCGGACATAACATCCTGTTTGGTCCCTGGTGAATCTGGGATACCTTCGGCATCAATCTCAGGTGGAATGACTGAACCCACCCGACTCGGTTGCCGGGCACGCAGCACGAATAGGCAAACATGGTGATGCTACGCACCGCCAAGCGAGCGCTACAAAAAGACTTCCTGTCGTTTCTACAGTCCGACCATGCGAGAGTCCTTTGGAAAACTTGTTGGTTGTTGAGAACTACCTGATCAATAGCACTTCCCGATTGGAGTTCTTTGTGAAACAACAGTGGCTGCCGTTGCTGACTCATGCCTACCTAAGAGTTTAAACAACGACGCATGTTTTTCTCCCACTGACTATCATGGATCCTGACGGGAGGCAGCTTGTTTGGACCACTTGGGCATTTGTGCCATTTTCTTGTGAGTGACTTCTTCCAATCCATTTCAGAGTTGGATGATTCACAAATCCTTTGGTGATCCACTGTTGGTTTGGAGAGGACGAGAAGTGGGGATCGCCACAGTAATTACCACCGGGCCTCGAGTTGCCCATGTCCTTTTGCGGTGCAGAACGTTTTTCCGGGTTGCTCCGAGCCTCCAAAAGTTGGTTCCCTTTTGATTTCATTCCACATGTCTACTCTTGTTCCAGGTAACCCTGATCCTTCATAGACAGCTTGCCCAGTGCAGGACCTTCTCAAGAGTGCGCAGGGAGACACATCCCACGTGAAGCGCATTGTGCTGGCCTGTGAGCGAGACATGGAGGAGAAAGCAGGGACCGCTTTTGCAGCGTTTACTTGGTTGTTTGTTTTGGTGGCCTCAAACATCACCTGTAGCGTCAGTTGAAAGTATAGTTTCCCCTTTGAGTGGTTGCTTTTGTGGAGTCAGTTTCCTTACATTGATTTATTTGGGTCAAGTCGCTGGTCCCATTTGGTTTCCGAGGGGTGTTGGGCCCCATACAGTAACCGGGCTATCGGTGCTGGGTGCACGCTGCTGTCGTAAAAGTTCGCATGAGCGCACAATACTGCCAGGGGTGACGGCCCATCGGTTTCTTAGATTCGGGGTTTCGCTCGTTGTTGTTCATGGTGTTCTTTTGATTTCTTGTAATGTCATTGTGGGGCATGCGCATGATGCATGCCTCCAGCTTATGCTGTTGCGTTGGTTCTGTGTTGCTTGTTTTGTATAGACTATTCTTTGCGTAGCCTTGATTGTGCATACCCTCTTTCCAACAATCATAGAAATGGGCAGGTCCTCTTGACACATCTTGAAGCGGCCCTTTCTCCACTTCCATGTTTGTCGGAAACAGGGTATCCTTCACATTGTGTGTTATTTTGTCCCAGTTGTGTTCATGCTGTACCGACAATTGTTTCCACTGACCCATACTTTTGGGCACCCTTCATTCTAGGGCTAAGTTCCCTTTGCTTTCCAGAAAGCCAACAACCAGGAGGAAAAGGTTGAGTACTCAGAAGACGGATCGTTGAATATAATGAACATGTAATAATCCCGTAGAATATGCCTGTTTTTCGGGCCCACCAAAAGGAGGCCGCAAAAATTAGGCTGCCAGGCTGGAAAAACCGTACCGGCAGGACTTCACTGCTGCCATGGACGCAGTGAACGTGGACCTGGATGAGATGCGGGCGCGAGTGGACTCCACTCACTCCATCATCACATCTCGCCAGCGCGTGGAGGCCGGAATCACTAGTGCATAACATGACTTGTTGGTGTCAAGCCCCAGTTCGAGGGTATGGTAGGTTGTTGCAAAGTGTGGTGGTTATGTACCACTTCTCTTTGTTTGTTCGTTTGCTTGCTGGCTTGCTGGCTTGCTGGCTTGCTTGCTTGCTTGCTTGCTTGCTTGCTTGCTTGCTTGCTTGCTTGCTTGCTTGTTGTGTTTTTGTTGAAGAACTGGTAAGCCAATTGCAGAAAAGTCTCGCATCCAGTGTACGATATGTGTACAGACAATGTAATTCCGAGCCCTCGGATCTAGCCAGGTTGAAACATGCCTCTGAGCATCTAGCTCTCCTTTCAATGCACATGGCTGTAGGTCAAAACCAATGGTACCATTTTGGAGTAGGTGAATTCACCGCCCATGATAGAACCTATTCTAGCGAGGATTGGGATGTTCACTGGGGGTACAATTTGGATTTTGACCCATGGCCACATTTTGACTGGGTTACGCAGGTTTTGGTCCATGTTTCCACTTACCAGGGTTCCATTTTGGTACCGGTTTTTTGAGCCACAGCCGTATGAGCAACTAAGTGTCAATGCACGCAAGTTTGACGCGAGGGTCCCGTTCACCCGTACTCGACTCGCAGGCCACGGTTACAGCCGAGATCTCCACGATGCGACTGGACATGGGGGACATGCAGGATCGAAGCGGTGCATTGCTGGGTTGCGTTTGCTAGAGTACCGTGGATGGACAAAATCCTGCACCAATTGGAAACCACGCGAAACCATTTAAACAATTTGGAATTTTCAGGGGAACCATCATTCCAGGGTTCCTTAGGTGGTGCAGGATTTCGTCCATCCACAGTATTTCTTCGGGCAAGGAGATCATGTCGCCAACTGACCTGTGTAGTCTAGAACAAACGGAGTACCTGGAAGAATTGGGTTACCAAACACCCCTGGTGGGGACGAGGCCAATCCAACTGCCAAGGGTCAGCATATGGCACAAGCCTGGGGACAAAGGAGGTTTCCAGACCCCTGGAAGCAAACTTGGCTGGAACTCGGTCCAAGCAGACTGAAAGAGGGGTACATATGTGAGATTCACCTAATACATACTGACGTGTTCGCTTGTGAAAGCAAACCACATGCTGGCCAGACTGCACTTGCGGACATGTTGGCAAACACTAAATCTAAGTGTGCGCAAATCTGAGCAAATCTGCACTCACTTTGTCTCATCTTGATGAGATGTGGGCAACTAATACAGGGTTGTGACCCAACTCTTGAAGGTCCCTTCCTGTGGTGAGGCTTGTTTTGGGTTGCTATCGCCAGGTTGGCTGGGGGTTCGAACGCATGACGGTTCAGCCTAAACGTTTGCTCTATTCGTGCTTGTTACCTTTGTTGTTTCAGTTCGAGTTTGGTTCTTGCTGGGTTTTTTAGAGTTGCTATGTTTGGTTCTGTCAGCTTTAAGGGGCCAAGAACATTCAGTGTTTTGCGGGCATGCCAACAGTTGAGGAGATGGGGAGATGGGAGCAACAGCAAACCTCGAGTCGAGTCAATGAGACATTTGCCAGTGGTTTGCTGATCCTTAGATTGGCTCAAGGCACAACATGTTTCAATAACACATGTTTTTTTTGAAATTGAGGTAAAAGGGGGGGACCCCAGGTTCGGCAAGCCCAGGGCGTAAAACAAAGGCCCTTGGACGCAAGTACAAGTCAGTGCTCACCCGAACATGACCCCCAGGTCGTTTTTGTAGGATCCACACCCGACCCTTTCCCTGAAATGAGTCGCCGAAACGTTTAGGGGCAGCAACCAAGGGTGAGGGAGTGGAGCGGGCTTGTACGCAACCCAAGCTCTTCGAGTGCCGCCAGGAAGCGCTGAAGGCGCACGACGCGTGGATGGAGGAGTGTTTGGCAGCGCAAATTGGCTGAGACAGCTGGGCTAATTGATGGTGACCTTGCACGAGCGGTGTATTGCGCCTGGTTTCAATGTGTTGGTTGGTTCTTGGTCCAATTATTATTTGAGGTGAACTGTTGTTATGACCAGTATGCATGGATTGCCACTACCACACAAGCGAAACTAGCCCTGGCTCCACCTCAAGTGCAGCAAAAAGAGTTGTACCTTGCGGCCCAGAAGTGGCAGAGAAGATCTTAGATACATGAATTTCGCTTAGAACTTCAAGACCAGTTTGGTTTGCGATTGGGGGGGTGGTCATAAGGGGTAGGGAGAAGATGTGGCGGGGCAAGGCTGCGCAGGTGTGTTGCACAAGATTCGCCAGCAAGTTCACAGCGAGTTGCGCGGTCGTATGTGGTTGGCTTCCTTGCTTCATATTTGGGCTGAACCTTCAAAATTGCGCTTACCCTTTCCGGTTGAAGGAACCTCAAGAGGGCACTCGAGATTTTGTATGGGAACTTAGATGAATTCATAAAAAGTGGGGGGGGGAGGGTGGAGAGGGGCGCTGTTGTAAATCTGTAGAACCAAGTTGGTAGAACCAAAGATCAATGCGTTGCGGGCACTGCTCGCACTTGTTCATATATTGTGCTTTGATTATGAAAAGATGTACTTATCTATTGTGTTTGCTGTTGAGTGTAACTATTGATTGATTACTTGGTGGGTCTTCTTGTTAATTCAGTAGTAGTATGTCCGCTGCTCACGACTAATTATGTTTGGACACATCCATAATATAGCAAAGATACATGGGGGGGTGAGTGCCAAAAAGTTCCCCCCCCCCTTCGTTAGACGGGATCCCGGCTTCATGTTTGCTAATTCATTGCCAAATCAGCTACCTTGAATGTTTTGAGCGGAAGATTGTCCTCACCCACCCTCTTTTTCGACCCAGTTTG